ATATAATATAAAGCAGTCCCTTTGAGAGAAGTCTGTCTTTAAGTAAACATATTTTGACATGCATTTTTAWTATGAAATATTTGCAAAGTTTTGAGTTTCCTAATTTTCCCATTGAATGACTTTAGTTGTGTTCTACGTGATGAAGAGAAAATGCATTGTTTTGTCATCCTGAACATACTGAGAAAATGCAGGCTTTCAATTTCCAGTAAAAACAAAAGTGTCGTATCAAAAGTAAACCATCAGATGTCGCTGTTCACCACGATTTGAAATAAAAAGAAGCCTTGTCTCAACAGTGCTTGTAAAAAGATGAAAGTTACAAATTCGGCCTCAGGATAGTACAATGCACGTGAAAAGGAGAGAAGCAATAGCTACAGCAATATTTATCACCTACATGGCAGAGTGAATACTTTAAAGCCTGGATATATGAGGGGAAACATGAAGGATAGCGACAGCATTTAGGCCTTCTCTTTGTCCTGTTTGAGCAAATATGAAATGACGTCTTTTCTTCAATGTAAGACTTGTCAGTTTATAAGGGTGTCAGGTACAGCCCCCCTCCCCCATCCATCCTATGAGGAGATTATAAAGCCACTCTCACTGCTGCAGCCCAACCTCACCACCCCCTTCCTCCTTCCACCCTACAGTCGTCCTATTCAGCACCCTGGAGAGCTGCTGCAGGTACTCAGCTGTCCTTTGTGAGATGGCTGATGAATGGCGTGGATTGTACAGAAGTAAGGATGAGGGAGTAAAAAATAAATAAAAAGCCGTACACGACTGAGGCGTTGCTGTAGCTGGGCAAGGACCAGACGTCCCTGGGATATTTAGAGTCAGTTTATGCATGGAGCATCTCTCAGTGCTGCCTCTGAGCAGGCATGAGTCCGGCCCATGGACTCTCTGCTAATGAAAATAAATGAAGCTCCAGCTCTCCATCTCCCACAAATACAGGCACGCTTCCACCACAATGCCAAACCTCATCTGTCTTTCTCTTCTGCTCAGGTTCAGCAAATGATCATTTATTGAACAGCTCTGCTTTCTATGAGTAATTTATATCATCCAGCATTTGGATGTCCATGGAGCACATCTAAGAAACCCACATTTTCCCCCAGAATATTTAACACAATGATGTCAACATTAAATTCTTGTGTGTTTCTGAACGACACTGCAGCATCCTTGCCTTCTTGAAAAGAAGGCTGAGTTTTTTTCCCCACTCCTCTGTCCACACCTTCCCTGCACGCTTTCTTGCCTTTTCTGTTCATCGAAGGCTTTCAAATCCTTGATCGGCACTATTGTTTGAGTTGCCCAGCCCCCCACAGCAGCKAGAGCCCCACCACCATCACTGCTGCGGTACCAAAGAACAAAAAAGGAGAGTGTCAGACACCACCCACTAGATCTCTTTCACACCAAAGCCCCCACCTCACTTCCAGATGGGGTTGCCTTTTTTTCCAGGGTTTCTCTCAACCCCAAGAGTCCTTCAAAATGGAGGCCCCTCCTCCTCCCTCTACCCCCCCTGCCTGGAGCCCACCTCCTCTCAGCTGCCCGGCATCCACCTGCTCCACTCTGCCACGCGCCTGTGGCCAGGGCATGTCCCCTTTTCTTTAACGTCCCATCAGGGAGTCATCAGGGAGTCGACTTAAAAATCACTAGAAGACCTAAAAAATCCAAACTTTCTTTATACCCCCCAAAAAAATGAATTTACAAAGAAAACAAACACGCACAACAAATCTTATGCTCCTTCTTTATCTTCTCTCCAAGCAAACTCAARAAAATTACATTAGACTAATATCTGCCAACTCTGATGGCATCCTATATTCACCTACAGAAGACAAACAGATGCTCGTTTGTTTATTTTGGTCCCCCCAAAGCGTAAACACGTATCATCTTTAGGAGAATCTCTGCGTCAACCTCCACCYCTGTCTTGACCTTTCCCCTGCAGGGACGGGGAGCGTGCTACAGCAACAGGACACATCTGCTGCAAGACAGCTGTTAAGTCTCTTAATGACGATCCAACAGTCGGGATCGGAAAGCGAGTTAAAGATAATCATTGCTGAATCCAGGGGGAAAAAAACACACAAAACAAACCAGCATCCTTTAGTTTTCAGTGTTCAAAATGCAGATTCAGTTAAAAAGARGAAGAAGAAGAAATGTATTTCTATTTTAATCTAAACTAGTTGCATGATAATTAGCACGATCAGCCATGATTCCTCCTCTAATATTACATGCATGGATGCAAGTTATGTTGTCACTCAGTAATCAAGATTYACAAAAATACCCCCGTTTCAGTTCGATGCATACTGACTGCTATTATTACAATTTCATGTTTGAATTTATTTAGCTGCACTGCAAAAACTGTCCATCTAACCAAGTTTTAAAACCTTATATCCARCCAAAAAGTCTTTTTGATCTGGTTTTGAGACTGATTTCCTAAACAAGAACTGATTGTGTAAAAATAATATTCTTGTTTTCAGAATGTGTAAGATTATTTCTCCAGTTAGCTTAAAAATTTGACTCAAATTAAGTCAAAATTTTCTGCCAATGGAGTAAGATAATTTTTACTTGGTAAGATTCTTGAAATAAGAAAAAAAATGGGTCAAATCAAGTATTTCAAGAATCTTACCAAGTAAAAATTTCCTACTCCATTGGCAGAAATTTTTGACTTAATTTGAGTCAAATTTTCAGACTAACAAGACAAATAATCTTACACATTCTGAAAACAAGATTATTATTATTATTATTACACAATCAGTTTTTATTTAGTAAGTCAGTCTCAAAACGAGATCAAAAAGACTTTTTTGGCTGGATAAAAGGTTTTAAAACTTGGTTAGATGGACATTTTTTGCAGTGTACATCTTCTTAAGTTCTCTTGCTTTGGATCTGTTTAGATGCTGAGCTGCAGGAAATGAGTAAACCCCTCCAATCACTTTACCCTCACCCCCCTACACCCCCCCCCCCAACCTACCGTCCTTCAGTCCCTAAGGGTTCAAGCACCCAAATCAATTGAAAGAAAGGCGAGCGCACTGTGGTCCTCCTGCTACATCTGTCAGGGAGGGGAAGCAGGAGGGGCTTTACTTATGGGCCATACAGAGGAACAATATCGCTCCATCTGTCACAAGCTATTTCATCTCGAATGGAGTGAAATATAGCTTACAGAGATATATTCTTCCATATCATCTCTGCGTATTAACTTACCACTGTCTAAGTCTTTATCAATTCCCAGAAGCGTGCATGTGCGGTAGCTTTTTTGTCTCGTATTACCTTCCTCCCACCAGCCAGCACTCTCCAGCAACCTTCCAAATGATGCTTTTAAGCCGAAGCAGCATGTTAAAAGAAATTGTTCCACTTTGCACAGTGAACCAGTTAATGAAAATGGAACCAAATTGATGCACATCCAAGCAACACAAATTTACATGTAAAAAGTTCCTAATGAAAKTAGTGAACAGGAAGCGTAAGGAAAATAAAAGCTCATATTGAATGAGGGGAAAGGAGAGGGGGCGTGGGGGGGGGGAAGAAATATTTAAAAAACAGTAACATGCAATCTGTTGATAACCAAAGTGCTCTTTCATATTCAAATGGTGCCGCTGCTGTGCAGGAAGGGTGTGGCCGGGCGATTCTTCTTGCCTCCTCAGCTGTCGTGGCTTTGTGACGTCTGTGATCCCATTTGCTCTATCAAATTATGCTAGCTGGCTGCTGCAGAGGACCAAACGACAACCCCCACGAACAATATCTCACAAAGTCCAAGGAGCTGTTTACTTATTGCCAACAAAATTAAGTCGCCCAGTGATCTGGCAAGGAACAGCACAAAATGGCCAGACTGTTTACTTGAGTAGAAGAAGAAGGGGAGGGGGAAAAAAATCCATATCCCCAAGAGCAATGATGTCTCTCTCTCAGCAGCAGGTAAAGCTGCAATCTCAGTCATTCATATTTAATTCCGCAAGAGTTTCCAGGAAGACTAATGTGCTATTGATTTCAAGTCTCCTGTTACTGCGAATGGGGGAAGGCCACGAGGGCAGAGAGCTGGACTACAGGGAGCAAAAGCAAGAAAATGAAAGGGGAGAGGAGGAAGGGGTGTGATGGAGGGGGGAGAAAATGGAGTGCGATGGCTAAAGCTGGAAGCTTTCCTTGGAAACATTACAGTATTCCACACAGAGAGGCCCGCCTTATCGAATAAACTGCTTATCACCGCCGAGTAAATACATCACATTCTACATGAAAGCACATCAAGTGAAAGTGAGGTAGAGGCAGGAAATGGGTTCTATCGTATTTACTTTTCATTAAGATTTTCCACACTGACTTGAAGCTATGGGAGCTCATCTAAACAGAAACAAGCACATTAGCACCTTTTCAGTGTGTCTCGTAACCATCAAATATTCATTTTTCTTTTTATTTCAAATAAACAGCGAGCAACAGAAAAAGGCAAGAAACAAAGAGAATGTCTAAGAGCTTTGTGTGTTTAAGGTCTCTCCCTTGATACTGGCTCAGACAGGACAAGATGAAAGATTAATAACCGGGGCTTTATATTTAAAAAGGTTTGGAGACAAACATAAGGATTTGTTTTGTTGAAACAAACCTTTAAACCACAYGAACGTGTTTGTGATCATTTATAAGCGGTAATGTTTGCAATATGTGAACATTTTCTTTATTTTAATGCACAAAGAATTTGATTTTATCTATTCGACAATAGATTAAAAACAAGAAAACACATACAGGTGCACAGAGAATTAAGCAGAAAAATGGAAAGTAGAATATCATACATGAATAAAAAAAAATGACAAGAGCGTCTACTTCAGAGACTTCCTCCCACCAGCCTGTCTACACTAATAATAGCCCAGAGACAACACATCCAGACAGACAGAGGAAGAGAAGGATGGAGAGGAAAAAAAGAGACAGAAAAAAGTGCAAGTAAAGCCATGAGGGAGACCACAAGAAAATTGCCAAATAATACAAAAAGGRTTGAATTAGGCCAGTTGCCACTATCAACAAATGTCCTTTAAAAAAAAGGAGGCTAATTTATTTTTGGAATCTTTCCTGAAAGCAGTAACTGCTTCACTGCTGCTGCCTCTGATGCCTGAATAGCCGAGAGCCAGGCCTGGTGGATGGAGAGCACTGAATTACCCAGACCTGCAGGCTGAATCACCCTCCCCATCCCCCTCGACTCTGTCATATAGTGTCACTCTCTCACTCCCGCCATCGCTCCCRCTCTCTCCTTCTTACAAATAGACAAGGCCTCTACCTCACCGCAGGGCAATGGCAACAGGCTTTCATTTTGATGTAATACTGAAAGTGCAATAACGATGAGGCTGAGAGAAGGACGGGCCAAGGCACTCAGATTTTTAGGTTTTCATCATTTAGAATGCTTTGTGTTGAATTTGAATTGTCGGTTTTATTTTTATTTCATTCTTTTGGTGCAAAGCTTGAAGTGTTTTTCCCTTACATATGAATTTCTTTCTATATCAGTTTATRACCCTAATTATGAAAACATTGGAACAATGTGTAAAGTGTAAATAAAATCAGAATGCAGTGATTTGAAAATAGCAAAAAATGAAAATAAAAAAATATAAAATCTTTACCACATAATGGTATATCAAAAGTCGAAACAAAGAAGTCGTGTTTTTGTTTTTAGTAAATGTAATTWTGAATTTTATAGCAACACATCTCAAAAAAGTTGAGAAAGAGGAAACAAAGCGAGCCAATAGACAGTTTTCTGACAAATCTGTTTTACAGTTTCGTAAGAGGTTTGGGTATAAAAAACAGCTGCATTACTTTGAAGTAAAGATGGACAGAGGCTCACATGTCTGAGGGAAAAAAATGCCTCTAAAATTAGTGGAAAATTTTCAGAATAATGTTCATTGTATTCATCGGTGTATATGTATATAAATATACTGTACATATGTGTTTATGTATATGTGTATATGTGCATTGGTATATGTACATCACTATATTTCACATGTGTAACTTGTGGTGTTGTTTTTGTTTGATATCTTTTATTTATCTTTCATTATTCTTCTCAACCTCTCCTGTATTAAGCTGCAGTAATGTGCAAATTTCCCCACTGTGGGATGTATCTTATCTTATCTTATCTTATCTTATCTTATCTTATCTTATCTTATCTTATCTTATCTTATCAATGGAAAACCGGAAAGAATTTGAAAAGCTTGTTATCTAATTAAAACCCATTAACAGTCAACCCTGAAATTCTTTAAAAGCCTTTTGACATTTTTTATTTTTTGTAAGGGTGTCAAAGTAAAGGTAAGAACCGGAGGAAGTTGTCTGACACCCTAGTTTTCAAAATAAAAGCTGCACCATTTTTGCCCATAGATGGAACAAAGACTATTAAAGGGTTAAAAATTAAGAAAATGGAGAAATTCTAAGCTCAAACGACAAGACTGAAAGTCAGGATTTTGGTCAATGTCTGCCTGTTATGAGCTCTCAGGTCAAGAGTCTTGAGGTGCGTTAGTTACTCTRGCATTATATTTGGAAAGGCATCTTCAGTGCAGAAAACTGGTTTTAGAATATTTGCTCCATTTCATCAAATAAGTCCAAGATTTTTCAAGAATGGGACAACATTCTCCTGCAAAAACTACAGCAACCAATCTTCTCAGGTTTGTTTACTGTTAAAAGAAATGGGGATGTGGTAAGCATTTTTAAGGTGTGTTACAAAGCTGCTTTTTTATTTTTTCATTGTCAAAAAATGGTCCACTTYCTTAGTTTAAATATTAGATGTGTTTACTATGTTCCATGTTGAGTAAAATTTGGCTTCGTGAGCTTTGCAAAACATTACATTCAGTTTTTATTTACATTTTGCACAACTTCCTAACTTTTTTTTTTTTTTTGGATTTGGGGTTGTATAAATTTCTCTGGCCCCAAGGAGCATTCCTTAATATGCAATAAAAAAAGAAAAGGAGCACAGCTTCAAGACTCCTAATCACCAGTACTGAAGGGACTCTTATCTATAAGGAAATAATCAGTGGGATAACAAAAAAAAAGCTTTTAAGCAAAACTAATACTTGATCCATGATTTAGTAACGTACAATGGGCGCTTCAAATGCCCTCTTACCCACACGGAGAGGATTCAGCTGCCATGCTACTAACCTGGGCTCTAATGAGAGGCCACAATTAAGCCCTTTTATTCACATTAAGTGTGAACTTTAAGTGGGACTGCAGTCAGTTGATGGACCTGGTTGCCTTTGTGTTACAAGAGCCGCTTTTATCCAGCCAACAAAAAGGGAAAAAACACAAGCACCTAATGAGTGAATCTCGCCATCTCCTCTCAGACTTCCATACACGCTGGAAGACACACACACACACACACACACATACACACATACACACATGTCCTCCAAACTGACTCAAGAGCTCCAACATATCCAGGCTGAGTTGAGTCACTGCTTGTCAGAACAGTGGGGGCGGGGTTAAGACAGACTGACAGTGGGGCTCCATCTCTATCCTCTTATTAACGCTTAACGAGCACTTTCCTCATGCAATATTCATCTGCACTAATATCAGCCAAGCTCTGAGCCAGGCTTGCTACTTATGTAAGGCAATTATGTAAAATATCAGAAAGAGCCTATGTTCAGAWGCTTGCTGGAAAAGAGCTACAGGACAGTGACAGTAAGGAAAGGGGAGGATACAGGGAATGAGCTCTTTGGGTTTCCTGTTGTTTTGCTTCAAGTATAAGACAAGACTGACTAATATCCACAAAATCAATCAAGGCCAAGTGGTCAGCATCAATAATGCAAACATTTTTCTCCCTTCCATCATCCTTCACAGCCAGAGCCATCTGAGGATTCGTCAAGGTCACTTAAGGACAACAAGGCAGAGGAAGTGACCACATCAGCACCTCTTCAATCAAAGGTTCGAAAATACCCAGAAGACATCGGTTGGTGAAGCCCAAACACGGCTTCCTCACGCGAACCCAAAGACCCTATAGTGCAAATAAACATGCACTAATTTATGCACGCTTGCGCCCCCGCCTCCCCCCCAAGCCCCAGGTCAAGGCCCGTTGGGGGTCTGCACAAAAATAGGTCATTTGTCACACATGATGTCCYGGGGCAGGGGATACATTATAGATGAGCCCAAACAGCATGTCTCGGTGAGCACTTACCATCCAGCCGGGCACACGGGAGGGAACAGCAGGAGGTGGGCAGAGAGGGCTGGGAACTCCTCACTGAAGGGATCCTGTGATAGTAAAATAAGAAAAAAATCACTGCTTCAGTCTTTTCTTGTTAATAAAATAAAAAAAGACTTATCTGATGCAGTTTGATTAGAGAAATCCCAATTCTCCTGTTTTTGCTGAATGGATTCATTAATGCCAGGGTTGTCTACTTTAATATTCCCATGTCTGCACCTGACTCTGTGGCTAACCATCTGCTTTAAAGTCCAGAAATCAACCTCTCATTGTTGCAATATAGATTTAATGCTTTGTTTTTTGTGTGTGTTTGTTTTTTTATTTGCATTTACCAGTCCTCCCCTCTTCGTTTGCTTTAATTGTGCGAATATGAGCGAAAAATGTGCACTCTGRAGAGTCTGCTGCACGGACTGCTTTTTATTTGCAAAGACAAAAGACCTGTAGGGTGTTAGTTGTTTTGCTATAGTTTCAGACGGGGCTAATTGAGGACTAGCAGATGAATGAAGGCGCTTTGGAAACGCATGGACTGAGTGCAAAAAAATGGTGAAAAGGGGAAAAGACACGTCCAAGTGTCTTCTGCTGCATCCATCTGTTGTGAAAGTGCAGGTGGAGTCCTATTCACGCTGCTCTGCTTGTGTGTGATGGGAAGGGGKGGGGGGGGCAGGAAGAAAGGAAGGGCAGTGTGAGAGATGGAAGGGCAGGGATGGAAGAGGGGCGGGGTGGGGGGATGGGGGGCTCTTGGTGATCTCTCCTGAAGGGGATAATGGGAGAGCGGCGCATTGCAATGGCTGCCATGTAGTACCCTCTCTCCACAATTAGCCAATCAGCAGCGCGCTCTGCCAGCCAGGAGGACGCATAAAAGAAGAACATTGCAGCAGAGGCACAGAAGGAGACTGCGAGAGTAGCGAGGAATTACGCACACACGCACGTACGCACGCGCACCCATAGAAAAACAGCCGAACCAGAACAACCCTCCCCTGGACACACCCTGCCGAGGATCACTGCTTCTCTCTTATTTTTTTTCTTCTTCTTCTTCTTCCTCCTCCTGAACCGTCGCCCACGCCACACGGAGAGAACCGCTCTCCATCACCATCATCATCCAGAAGAAAACTCCTTTCTTCCCATTTTCATCTTTAGAGGAACACCTACAACCTCGGAGGGCTGAGATCCTTTTTTGGCAAAGATTGTCCTTTTTTTTYYTTTTTTTTTTCTTTTAGTTTTAAAGGGCCATATAATAAAAAGGGGCCTAAGACAGAGACTCAGCTTTCAGCTTGAAGACCAGTGGAAAGGAGGACCTAGATTTCTTTCATTGTACGTCAAGAATGGTTACTGTACGTATGGCTCTATTTTTCCTCTTCCATTCATGATGGGGATGTTGTATCATTGCGCAAACGTTTTTTTTTTTTTTTTTAAATCTCACGCCTTTTGGTTTGTTTTGCATGTGCACATGTGATGTCGGCACAGAATAAATGAAAATCGTTCCCTCCTGTGATGGAAATATATATGTTTTATTTTTTTCAGAAATTTAATAGAGCTGCGTGCGTGCGCTCACATGCCAAAACACGGTTGGGATTAGCGTCCTTTACGTTTTCGTCCAATATGCCACGCAGTATTATGATAACGAGATTAAGRATCGATGCAGGCAGTTAGCAGTCTCAGGCTGTGTGGTGCGCCATGCTGCGCTCCAGCCTGCAGTCATCCTCGGCGCTGGAGAAAGTCATTATTCTGCCATTTTAGATGTCTCGGGTTTTAGCACCGCAGCCACTGTGACTGCTCAAAAGTCTACGTGCGCGTCTTTTAAAAAAAACAGACATTCCGCCAGGTTCTAATAATAATAATGGAGGTGGAGACGTGCAGTAAAAACGCTGCGCTCAGCTGCGGTCGGGGGGTTGCGGGGGGTGGGGGTGTCTTTGCCCGGTGCCGCACATGGATGCCGGAGACAAAACATGATGCCTCGGAGGCTGAGGGCCCATCCAGCAAGGCAAAAACAGGAGGAGGGAGAGAGAAAAAAAGGGTCGAGTCACTCCGAGAGGAGAGGGAGGGGTGGGGGGGTGGATTACGCATCCTTTGGTTTCGCTTGGAATCAAAGTCCAAAAAAATTCCTCAGGGTTCTCGTTGCGATGCAACCGAGTTAAACGGAGGCTGGAAAAGCTCCGAGGCCGCGGCGCACGCAACGAGGCCGCGCGCGGACATCACCATTTTAAAAAAGGCGCATTTCTTCAAGAGTCGCGTCGCTTCAAGATGGCCATGCCTCTTCTCGGCGGCCTGCTGGATGAGAGGAGATGGAGGCAGTGATAAATGAGCTGCTGCGCGCCGACAGGCCGGGTTGGGCGTGTCTCTCTGCTGGAGCCGAGCATCAAACGAGGGCCTTGAAGCCTTAAACGACCTATTCTTCTTTATTTGCCTCTTGACTTGATTGAGCATATTGATTTAAGCGACCATTTAAAAAAACACTTTGCTTAAATAATATGAGAATGAAACAATAAAGCAAACAAAGACCCCAGTATTGTCTTGCATGAAAAAGAACCACCGTTTCATTCTTATAAGAATTACGTGAAGTTGCACTGAAATAATATTTATGGAAGGTCTAAACTGTTCAGCTTATGGCTAATTATCGTGCGTAAAACGTACAGTYCACAAAGACGGAGGCAGGTGCGCGTTGCAGCACTGAACCCACTTTTGTTTTGGCTCAGTCTTCCCACTTCACGCGTGTATGATTTGTTTCCTCTTTGTTGAAGCTTTTGTTGCTCCCAGGCCTCGGATAGTGGCAGCATCTCCTCCACATGGTCCGCAGTCTCCCCCCGTGCGTGTACCGCAGTGCCAAGCAAATAAAAGCGTCGAGTCAGATAACCTTTCCGAGGCTCTTACACAATTCAAGGACAAGGACAGGCGAGGCCATGACTGAAAACCAGCTGTTTGATCTCAAGTTAAAACTAAAACTGGAGCTGATGGAACATCGTTTGGTTAAAATCTTATTTAGTTGCTTTTATTTTAGCTGACGCAATTTATTCGAATCAAAACTCTTATAAGTGCTTTATTTTTGGTTTTATCATAATACACATAAGGCTGAAAAGTTTATTGCACTTCTGAGACAATTTGCCTCATGCTAAAATACGTTTGCAAACCGTAACAGAAGCGCAAAAGTATTGCTTATAATGTAATTTTAAAAACACTAAATGCTTTTTTGCTGTAGCCTAATTAAACCCAAGAGTGGTCATTTTAAAAGGGGGGAAAACACGCTCAAAAATGGCCATAAATAGACTTATTATTTTAGTTTAGATATCTGACCCATCCTTGCGTTTTTTGACTCGGAGCTGGCAACTGTGTCGAGCATTGTTCCCGGAGAGTCCTGCAGCCTCTGGTCGCGGCACAAAGCGCCACTGTTTACATTAATATTCATAGCGCTGCCATAGCCTCTGCCAGCGAGAAGAGGAGGAACGGGTGGCTCTTTTGTTTGCTCCTTTCAATACGTTTATTCAGCAAATAGGCGCTCCGCTCCGTGAATGCCTGCAGAGCGCACGAGTCTGGCGCGTAAAAACACAGCTAAATAGGAGAAAGTGAAGGGAATGATCAATTATTTAAACTATTTGAACTGATGTCAGAACATTTATGTAAAAATGTTTTAATTCAACTAAATGTACACTCGATGCTTTTTTTTTTTTCGGCTTGAAAAGAGCCTGAAGTGAGCCACTCCCTTTTCAGCACGCTGGATAGCGCCCCTCGTGCTCCGAGGACCTGTGAGACAGATCTGTCTCCTCCAGGCCTCTGACGTTGTCTGCTATCATCTCTATCAAAGCAGCACAKATAAACCCAGAGAGCTGCAATCTTTCAGAGAGCTTTTTTTTATTATTATTTGTCTTCTGTTGAGTTGAGAGGAAAAGATGGAGACAAAAAAAAGCTGTGACTCTGCTCGTCCTGTTGTGTTCCAGCTGCCACCATGATCCTTTAAGCTGCAGAGAGTGTGGCTAATGCCCTTTGTTTGGGATAATCCTGTAATCTGTGTTATTTAGAAGGCTCATTTACACTTCAGCCTATGTGTTTGGGTTTGATTAATCTTTTCCAGTATAAAAAAAATAAAAATCTAAAGACAATGTGGTTTATACACTGAAATAATACAGAATTTTATTAAAAACGCAACATTTTTAACTACTATGAGCTTTAATCGGTGATTAGAATGATCTAAAATGTCGTGCAGCCGATACATCAAGCTCATGATTCACCAACACTTGCATACTGGAACTAAATAGGCTCCTGACTGTGAGAACATCATCTCACACATTTCATGTACTTTGTGACACACRCGGGGATAAAACACATAAGAAGCGGCGGCATCTTGGAGTGGCTCTGTTGCATTTGGAGCAGAAACGCATCAGAAGGCACGAGGCCACAGTTTGCGTTTACATCCAGTCTTGTAAATGTTTCTGTGTTTTGTAAGTTCATTGTGCACAGTGTAGGTGGTGTGTGTGTGTGTGTTTGTTTGGCGACGGAGGCTGGGCTCCTGGTTGCGTGCAAGTCTGCGACCATGTAGGCGAAGCTGATGCACTTCATTAAATATTAAGGGAGGTGTCACAGAGCCCCTGAAATAGAAAGAAAAGCAGCGGTGGTGGTGGRGGACTCAAAAGTTACATCAGAATTCCATTGTTATGTTTTTGTCCTTACTGGAGAGAAACTTGATGAGGGCAAATGGGACAGAGACGCACAGCAACATCACACTGAAGACATTCGTTAGTCTTTTTTTGTTTTAGTTTTAAATCTCTGGATTTTTAATTGGAAATGCTAATTTTTTTCTCACTACTTGTGCTGTCTCTATCGCAAGAAATCACTGGCTCTCTATAAAACCATTAGACCACATTATTATTTGTTGCTGTAAAAAATAAAATAAGACACCCTAAAAATGAAGCTTATGAATTCTATTAGTATTAAACATAGCTGTGAAGCATCCTTTTGCTTCTTGTTTCTGAGTAGAAATCCTGGTATTTATATTCCATGACCAGCCTTTTAGTGAGTTATATAATGTCACACAGTTTGCTGGTCATGTTTCAGTTGCTGTGCTGAGGTTTTTCCACTCGGCGAGTCAAATTTGCCCCTAAAATGTCTCTTTTTCTCCTCCTTTTCAGAACGATTTCTATGTCATTTTTTTAACAGTCATTCGCTACTGTTCATCAAATGTAGTCATAGAACAGTTTAAAGCATTAGTATTGCTTAACTCCATCTTTTGTTGCTACAAAATAAAATATACTCAGCCTCTTTCTTAGTTGCAAATCCAAATTTTTACGTGACACTTTGCTGTTTTGCATTGTTGATGTGCTTTTGAAGTTTTTTCCCTTACAGTTAAACCGTCACCACGCTGCTTTTCCTTTTGTCCTCAGTAGTTTGACTCGTTTTTTGCAAGGTTTGTTGTTTGGCGTGAAAGGCAGACAACGTAAACATATGCAAATATCGGCACATCACAAACACAGACAGAAAAAGACATCCAGCAGAAAGAAAGCGAACCTGTCAGCCATTAGAAACAAGGCTGTCTTTGAGCGGGGGGGGGGGGGGGGGGGGGGGGCTGTTACCTGGGCAACAAGAGTCAAGGTGAAGCAGGAAGCTCGACAGGCGGATACAGAGATGATGTGGAAATGATTTCAGCAAACAGACCTGTTTACGGACCCAGGAAAAAGAAAATAAACTCATGAAATGAGGCATAAAAAACTGCTTAGTTGAAGTGGTTTGCTAATGTGATATGCAGCTAATGCAAATAAAAATATGCTGGTTGAGTTACAAGAGTTAATCAAAAAACAAACTATATTTACAAAAAAAGACACTTAAGGAAGCATAAATTGCTTATCTTGCTTTACACCTTTCATAAAAGCTACAAAACAGCTTCATTAATCTGTTTACATGTGTTTAAATACTTTGATTCATCATTAATGACTCGTTAAATAACTAATTTTATTAGGGTCTATATTTTAAAATCCTAAAAGCTTCAGTGTTGCTCATTTTAAGTTTTTGACACACATAAAACTCCCATCAGTTTAAAACCCACAGCCTGATGTTACCTGTTAACATTTTACCTTAACTTCACACAGCTGTGCAGTTTACAGTCTGCAACAATATATATCCAAATGAATCAAAATCAAGACAATAAAAATGTGGCAGATATATTAAAAAAAGATGTTCAGAAGCATATAAATACACTCGCATGACTCATCCTTCTACATGTGCGCTTATACGCTTTGACAAGCTGGTTTAAATGTTTATTGGATGGTGTCAGGCAAATAAAACTAAATTGAAATATGCACTGTTAAAAAGAAAGTCTTGGCGATTATCAAAGCAGCTGAACTTATTGCAAATCACCATGATCACACTTCCAAATAAACAGATAGGAAGTAGTGAAGCTGCAGCATTCAAAAAGGAAGTTTTCTTCAATAACGTTTCTTGACATGTTTTACTTGGCTTAAACCAGACAACATCAGACCAGAATTTTAAAAAAAAGTCAGTTGATGACAAAAACAGAAGAATGAAAAAAAAAAACTATTATTTGTTGGAGTGGTACATCCATTCGACAGCTCTGCAGTCTCCTGCCATCCCTTCCAACCACCATGCCATCCATCCCTGCATAATGATGCAATGGCGTTTGACCCTGGAAGAGAGAGCAGGGGGGGAGGGGAGGCGTAAGGAAAAGGGACTGTGACATCTGCAGGACCAGAGGCAGGAAGCAGCAGAGGAGGGGAAAAGATGGAGGGAGGAGGGGAGGATAATAAATCAGAGCCTGTCCACCTCCATCTCAGCCATGCTGATTATTAACCTGCATTTCTGACAGTTATAAAGTGGACCGTCTGCGTGCACGTCCCTTATATTAGCATTTGTATTAAAGTATGCTAAATAATTCATGTCTGATATTTATACCGCTGCACCTCACCGTGCCTCGCTGTGGATTCAGAGTCTGACTCTGCCCTCTCTCTCAGCAGATAATCAGCACCATGGAAACGCAGGTGTCCAACGGTCCAAGCGGAACCAGTCTGCCTAACGGCCCAGTCATCAGCACAAACGGCTCCACGGACGACAGCAAGACCAACCTGATCGTCAACTATCTTCCTCAGAACATGACCCAGGAAGAGTTTAAAAGTTTGTTTGGTAGCATCGGAGAGATCGAATCGTGCAAGCTCGTCAGAGACAAGATAACAGGTGYGAAAGGCCGGAGGAGGAAACTGAGCGCTGCTCCCGCCGTGCGTTTGGGGATGCTCATCGTCTGTTTCACTGTTTCTTTGTCTGCAGGCCAGAGTTTGGGTTATGGCTTTGTAAACTACGTGGATCCAAATGACGCAGACAAGGCCATCAACACGCTGAACGGACTCAAACTACAGACTAAAACAATCAAGGTGAGGCAAAAAAAAAATACAATCACTGCAGCCAGACAAAGGGAAAGGAAGTGAAGATTTTGTCAAGGCGGTCACTGAGAGAGGTGAAGCATGTCAAAAAAAAGAAGGGGGGAGGGATGAAACGGGGAGGAGGAGGTGGGGGCAGAAGGGAGCGGTGGCTCGAACAAAGGAAGGATGGAAAACGAGTGAAAGGAGGAGGAGAGAGAGTGGAGGTCAGAAAGCAAGGGGCGGACAGCATGCGGTGGTTATTATGATGGAAATGTAATTAGGTATCCTGACTGGGCCGCACCAGGGTCAGTGCAGGTTAGCCCATCTGCCTCCCATCCAGGCTAATTAGGGGGCTTCTTTGTCCCAAAATCAGATGACGAAGAGGAGGAAGAGGAGGGGGGGGGGTCGTTATTAAACTCTGATTTCTTCCATCCCCCCATGATCAAAGTAGACCAAACACTGAAACAAACTGCAGGATGGAAAAATCTAATCTTCAGAACGGGGTGGCTGTTCCAGCAGATGTCTGTGACGTCACGTTTGATACAATAAGCTCTAATTTAACAGAAAAGACTAATTGAGCATCAAAGAGCAGAAAGTAATGAAACATTCATGAAAATTAATCACCATTTTAATCATAATATCCAACAAATTCATAGAAAAGCGTGACCATCATTAACTTCTTTTTTATAAATTAATGCAGGAAAAAAAGCCGTTCCTGTGGTCAGTATGTTTATCTCCTTGCTGCTGCAGGAAGCTTCAAAGAAAAGGAGTGAGGTGTGAGGGATGGAGGAAGTCGTAGAAGGACAGGGAGTAGCTCGGAGAGCAGAATGCCAATGACGGGATTAGAGGCCATATGGGCTTCAGGCACCATCTGCACTGTGGGAGCGACAGGGAGAGGGTTAATTATAGGGCAGCCTGTGTTCCCCCGAACACAGCAACTCCCCCCTGACTCGTCCAGAACACCCTAATCAGTGCACCACACAACCCTCCTGCTCATACAGTCTGTCTGTGGACACAATAGGCACTAAGGCTGATGGATGAAATCAGAACACCTGTATTCGTCCAGAAGATAAATTAACTTGCAGCTTTTTTTTGTCAGTTTAAAAAAAGGTGTATTCAATGGACATTTGAATTCCCAATATGATCATAAGCATTGTGTTTATAAGTCGCAAAAACAAAAACCCTGAAAGTCTTGTGYTGCACCTTCAGCGTTTTCTGTTTGTTTTTGGAGCTGCCCCCCCGGAGATTATAGGCACAAAAGAAGGAGGCCGGACTCAACAGCTTGGCTATCTCAGGCAACACACACTCCGTCTCTCCATCACGCACAATCACACCACCCTTAACTCCGTGCTGAAGTGCTCTATCTGTCGCACAAGTGTTCCCAGGCTGCCAGAAACAGAAAGGCACAGCAATAGGTCATTCGCTGGTATGATCTCATGGATATCGTTTTGCCAAAGTGGGAATTAAAAAATGTGCTAAAAGGGAACCGATCAACAGGAAAAACCTTAAGGGATATAAACAGACGCATCAAAAGTGATGCTGCTCTAATTAAGTCTCTGGAGAGTTTAGAAAAAAAATATTAACTAAGGCTGATGTTTTTCTGTGCAAAACAAAGAAAGGCATCAACTTCTTACCCAATGACTGGATTCAGTTGGAGTAGTTATACCTGTCATGTTTTTTTTTCTTTTGCCTGTGGTCTCATTATGGCTGGGTTTGAGCTCTTAAATTTRCCATAAGTCAAAGTTTGACAGCCATAATTTGTCACAATTTGAAGTTAGCAGATGGACAAAGGACTGTAAAAATGTTCAAATTGGCAACAAAAAGAAAACAAGTACAAAAAAAAATTGCAATTTGTTGTAAAAAAGCTAAAAGAGACAAAACTTGTAGCAAAGCAGCCAAAATGTAGCAGAAACTGCTGAAATTAGGAAAATGATAGACAGAGTATGTATTTGCTGAATTACACAGAAAGAAACTTAACAGACCACCAAAATGCACTGTAAAAATGAAATGTTGGATTTTCTTAACCATGTTATGTTACCTGGTTCCACTTAACTGAGTTGAGTAAATTCAAAGCAATATACCAGTTTTTTAACCAAAGAACATGAGCATGTTGCTTTGAAATTACTCAACTCAGTTAAGTGGAATCAGGTAACATAACATGGTTAAGTAAATCCAACATTTCATTTTTACAGTGTGTGTACTTGGCTCAATAAACTAAATTTAGCTTAAAAAAAGCTAAACAGTAGCTAAAAATGTCAGTCATCAGGCGAAATTTGCAAAACGCAACTAACTGAAGCATAACGAGTTTSAATTAGAAAGAAGAAAGCAGCTCAAAAAGTACAAATAAGGAAAAGAATTGCAGAAAGGAGCCGAATGATAGCTGAAACTACAGAAAAAGCTAAAAATTAGCATAGAAGAAGCTAAAAGTAGAAGAAACAAATTGTAATCAGCACACAGCAGTGAAAGGGATGTAAATGTTAAACTGGGAGAAAAAAATTAGAACAAAAAAGTTGCAATTTGTTGTAAAATAGCTAAAACAGCTTAAATTTGTGCAAAATAGCTAAAAGGTTACAGGCACTGATTTAGGACACAGACAGAAGATGAATCAGGGATTAGGATTCAGTCCAGTCCCAACAGGTCTCTCTTATATTTTGATTCAAACTGAACAGTGATCGTCTGTGATTTAAGACACGTTTTTACAGGTTCTCTCCCRTGTCGCAGGTATCATACGCCCGGCCAAGCTCAGCTTCCATTCGTGACGCCAACCTTTATGTGAGCGGACTCCCAAAAACCATGAGCCAGAAAGACATGGAGCAACTGTTCTCCCAATACGGTCGCATCATCACGTCCCGCATCCTCGTGGACCAAGTTACAGGTACAGCTTGACTTCGTGCTTCGCCCCGTCAGGGCATCCAGACGTTTAGGCAGCGGCGGTCACCGGCGCCAAAATAGTCACGTCGCTTTGCTTTCTTATCCGGAGCAGGCATATCACGAGGAGTGGGCTTCATCCGGTTTGACAAGCGAAATGAAGCAGAAGAGGCCATCAAAGGTCTGAACGGACAGAAGCCTTTGGGCGCTGCTGAGCCCATAACTGTCAAGTTCGCCAACAACCCCAGTCAGAAGACAGGCCAGGCCCTGCTGACACAGCTGTACCAAACTGCTGCCCGCCGCTACACGGGGCCCTTACACCACCAGACTCAGCGCTTCAGGTACTGAACCTACACCGACCCCACCCCACATACAAACCTCTTCATTAACTTGCCTGTTTGTGAAATGATTCATGCTTCAAAGCCAAGTTACAATGCAAACTTTCTTTATTTATGAAATCAAATAATAAAAAAATGTGTGAATTAATAATGTGCAAAAACTGTGAGGTCTGAAATGCTTAAAAACAAACCAATGTGTCTATCACAAGAAAAGCTGTAATTACTTAACTATAGTTACAGAAAAGACATAATTGGCAATATCTTATTTTCCCTCCTTCTCACTCTTTTTCTCTGACTTTCTTTTAAACTGCAGTGTGATCCCTTCACTGGGAAAGGGACCAGATCCAAATAACAGCTCAAACACAATGTAAGACACTAGATTTTTCCAGGTTTAAGAATAACATTAATTACTTTTGAAAAGGGCCTTTACTGTTTTTAAGGCTTTATCAAAAGAATTGAAACGACTACCGGTACATATTTATATGCTAATGTAATGAAATATATGTAGTTTTGTAAATTCAAGTCTTTAGGTATAATTATTTGTGAAGAAATCTCAAAGAAACTGTTGGGGGTGAACGATTTTCATTTGAATGTATACATTTTTAATTAAGTAGATRTATAATGGCCGATGTTGATTTTACATTAAAGCTACTAAATGACTCAGTATAAACACTAAATATCAGCAGGAGCATGACTCGTCATAGCTTTGTGGGTGGATGGTTTGGAAGTGCGTTGAAGTGAAGGTTGCCCTCTGGAGGACAGCTGATGATGGAGCTACATATTAACCATGAAAGCCCCCCACCCTTCCTTGTAGATCCCATAACTAACCTCTGCACCCCCTTCACTCTCCCTCTTGCGTTGCAGACTCGACAATTTACTAAACGCCAGCTACGGAGTCAAGAGGTAAATGTCAAAGGTGTACTTTCAAAAGCATTCATGCCAAAGTTAAACCTCAAACAAAGTGCCCGGAATACCACATGCTGACTTCATCTTTAAAATGAGACGTAATGGCCATGATTTATACTTAGCCACAGCCCATTTCCCCATGTTAGAGAACACAACAGCAACAAAATACTCTAATTGTAGTTACTGAGGCAGCTTTTTAAYAGCAGGGTATTCTGGCATGGCTTTGTTTAACCTTTTTGTTCTTTTGATTTAATTCCAAGTAATTTATCTGTATTTTTTTATGAACTAACATTGTTGGTTTCAGTTGCTTTAATGTTCCCTTTTTTCACCAGCATGGACATACCAGATTCCGTTTGCGTCTCTTCTGTTTTGCTCTAGTTTTGTTTTCTTTTTGTATGATTTGAATCCAGTTTGCTTTTCATCCCTCTCTAGGTTTCTGTGTTTTGTTCCAAAACTGTGATTTCTGTTCAACATTGTGATTCATGCATTTAATCCTTCCAGAGACTCTGGTCAGCAGAGAAAATGTGCACCATTGTGTGGGTGTCTTGTCTCAGGGGCTCACAGTGTCATTCTGTATGAAAGCAGGTAGTTTGGAGCCACTGCGGTGCCCACACATTTATATCTACTTACGGCACAGCAGAGGGGGATGGAGACTCCACAAACCATCATTTCTCCCAGACACCTTTTTCATAAAACAAAGTGTAGATAGAAAGAGCTGAATGCTGTGTGGAACTTCAGAATGACACCCATGGTAGTTCTCCTGCTCTCTTCCCCAGATTTTCCCCCATCACCATTGACAGCATGACCAGTCTGGCCGGGGTCAACCTCACCGGTCCCACCGGAGCCGGCTGGTGCATCTTTGTCTACAACCTGTCGCCCGAAGCCGACGAGAGCGTCCTGTGGCAGCTCTTTGGGCCTTTCGGTGCCGTCACCAACGTCAAAGTCATCCGTGACTTCACCACCAACAAATGTAAGGGCTTTGGCTTTGTCACGATGACCAACTACGATGAAGCCGCCATGGCCATCGCCAGCCTAAACGGCTACCGCCTGGGTGATCGCGTGCTGCAGGTGTCCTTCAAGACCAGCAAGCAGCACAAGGCCTGAAAGAGAGGCTGCCTAGTACCAGCTCGTTCAACCCGCAGGGAGACGTACCTGAGCTCCCTGTCGTCACTCTACATGGGCCTGGACTGAGTCTCTCTCTGACATGATCTCACACAAATCCATAAAGAAACCACAAAACACAGACGTGTAGACGCACACATACATACACACGCATCACACAAAACATATCCAAGCAAAAGGTGAGTCAGAGTTTCAAACAAGCAACACTAGAGGAGTTTCTTTTGTTCTCTTTACACAACATGCTAGTCCTTCCCTATATTTGCCTGGATTGAATTAGAAGGGGTACATAGCTGGTTTTTCTGGGTGGGGGCAAGAGCTATCTATTTAGAAGACAGTCTAACGAATGTGACAGAGAATGTGTACGGAATGCTTTGATTGAATTCAGGCAAATAACGACAACTGATGAACGAAATGATCAAAAATCAAATATGTGCAATTTTACCCAAACTCTTACCCCCCCTGCCATCTCTCCAATTATCTTGCTGGAGGGGGATGTAGTCACTTTTTTACACTTGGGCATTTTGAATCAGTGGTTTTTTTAGATCAAAGAAAATAAAACTAAAAAACAGTGTTCTCTTATATACGTCTATTAAAATATTACTATATATTCAATATTTAAGGTGGTTATAATAGCCGAGTATGTAAGCATTTTCTAGAAACTTTGACTACTGTTTCCTGACCTGCATTAGGTGGTGCCTATAGACTAAAGGCATTTTCTCTACTATATCAGAGCTCGTTAGCTCAAACCCAACACAATTTAGCTCAACGGAAAATAACGGTCAAGAAAACGAGTTGTTCGAAGGCCATCAGAATCACTCTCAGACTCACAATCTCGCACTATAATAGGACACTTCCCAGAAACACAGTTCAGAAATCGCACATATTTAGTCYTCTAAAGCTGTATTTCTATTTTTTTTTTCTAATCTCATCCAAGCGATAGATTTCATAGAAGCAGACTGTCTGTGAACTTAGAGCAGAACAGCAGCGCTCCCATGGCGATGATGTTCATTAGTAATTCTCTGCTGGGCAAGAGAGCGATGAGTGAGAGGGAAAAACGATTTCATCATAACGCAGCCACAGCAGAGGAAAATACCAGGTTTTTTTTGGTGTATTTTTCGTGCTTTATCCTGCCAGGGCCAGCGACGGCTTGGCGGGAGATCCTTTAAAACTGAAGGTGTCAAAAGGTCAAGAGAAAATGCAGATGTGACGTTGATACCTGGCAACTTATATTATCCATGATTGCAAGGTTTGAATGTTACTGTTCATAGCTGCAAAAAAAAAAAAAACTTAGCTTGAAAATGATCCGAAGGTGWAAAGAAGCAAGAACACAAAGGCCCCAGTATTGTTCTTCAGGTTAGTAATGAAATCGAAGCTCCCTGAACAAATAAGGACATATTTTACATTTAAGTAGCATCTGCAGTAACTTGAGATTAGAAGTCAACAGTTCCTGATTGAACGTTTAAACCTGACCAGGAGTCATATCTGTAATAGATATCTGTCTACGTATCAATTATCACCGATCCATTAAGCGGAAACACTCCTTCCACCACGGTTTACTTTAARACCCTTCGATTCCACACAAGCTTTGCAGGAAACGTCAAAAAACACGGCTGTACAACATCGAGCTCGCAAATTAAGTGTCGTAACTCGACTTCTGTTCGCGACATAAGAAGTATTTATAAATTCACTTCAGATCCGTTTGGCACGATCACAAAAATAGCCGGTTTTAAATATCTCCTAACCCAGGAGCATGAGGATTATTTATGGCACCTTTCATGGAACAATAAAGGCCAACCCGTCTGGCTTGAAGTGTCTGTTACGCCCCAGACTTTTACGATTCACCACGTGGAGAGCTTTGGTCTTTTAATAAAGACATCGGCACTTGAGAAAAGATTAAATAAGGTCACCTTTATTCAAGTCAGTTTTGCTTTTGCTTTTCTAAGTGACGCTGTGTTAGCCAAAGAGGACGATCTCTTTGAAAAGGATTACATTAAAGATGATCTATTTTTATACATACAAAGGAAACAAGACCTTGTGCTGAATTTTTACAGATTCTTAAGCTTGGAAAAATTGGGGCATAGCATGGCTTTATTTTAAAACCCTCTGATCTTTGCAGAGCAAGAGGAATAAAAAAAAGTGTGCTGTGTTTGGGTGGAGATTTAGGGAGGGGGCGAAGGAATCGTGTATCTCCCTCCAACTTGTCTAACCATCGAAATAGAATGAAACTGAAATCTGACAGGAAAGAAAAAAAATCAGAGACACTCAATTAAACAGCTCGGTTACGACCACAGACACAGCTACTGTATATCATTGAGCACCTAAGATGCACCTCCATCTTTTGTCTTAAAGTTGTGCATGGTGTCGCTTCGATGACAGCACAGCAAAGAGAAGCTGTACGACTTGAGAATCCCAGACAAAGCTGTGAGCGAGATTGGCTCGTGAATCGCTGCTTGCAAACAAAACAGATTCAAAACAGYAATGCAGACGCAAAAGAAACCCTGAGCTTAAACCTTTATGATTAGATCAATTAGATCTTGCTTTGCAAGTCAGTACGGAGAAGGTTAAACTAACTATATTATTCCGAGTAATTGCTGTACAAATTGATGTTATTTATTGAACGAAGACCCTCTGCGATTTGAGTTATGATTACTTTTGAACATATGAGTTGCACGCATCAGTTTTCATTTCTAAATCTTAAAAAAAAAACACTATACCAAATGCTATAATCGAACAAATGCAAACAATCCCATTTGCACACGACATGCAGTATAAAAAAAAATCATATCGAATCGATTCACCTCGACCATGAAAAAGAAAACATTGCATCCATCTAATGTATTTCCCCTTACATTTAACCCATCTGCTTTGTATTTATCTTTTAAAACATTGCGAATACTTTGACATCTTTTGATCTGACTCATACGTTTCACCCCCCCTGCGAATTCTGACCAAATGATGGTCTAATCTAGCTAATTTGGTTCGAGCAATAGCACAGTAAGACTGAGCACTTGCTGAGCCCTGTGACAGCCATTAGGAACAACTGAGATAACAGGCCACCCTATAAACTGCAGCTGGAGTCGTTTACCCAGCCATGTCCGGTTTGACACAGTCATCCCCACACAAAACCCAAACCCACAGTCTGAACTAACCTCACACCTATACAAAGACCCACACCTGATGTACGGCAGAGAGCCAAGGACTATGGCAGGAAACAGTACTACACTGCTTGAGCAACAATACTCATTTAAAAATAAAAAGACAAAAAAACTTTCCTATGGAACAGTAAGTGCAATGTGCTTTGTTTTTATATTGACTGAGAACAAATGATATATATTTTTAAAAAAATAAAAGAAAAGAAATGTCAACACTGAAATGGTTTGCGGATTTGTGAAAGGAGCCTCTGTTCAGGCAAACGCCTCCAAACGAACAGACTCCTTGAGAAATCGAAGAACGAGAGCTCTGATCTTTAAACCTCCATGATCACCTCCTCAGTCCCTAATTTGTGCTCTGACCATGCAAGCTCAAAGTGCATCATTGGCTGACCTAAAACAAAATTTGAAAAAAGGAATACTGTCGAATATAACATCAGTTTTAGCCCATGTCAATTTCAAATATCATTTTCTTGTAATTTATTAATTTCATTTTACATATCAAGACTCACTTGTTAAATTAGTGTATTTGTGTTGTTGATGTTGCCATAGAGAACACACATGGGTCAAAGATTACGTTCGGTTGCATCGATTGGGTAACAAGTTTGTTCTTTTTCTTCCATTTATTAGTTGCAGTTTTTACAGTGTATGCAGATTTTAGACTTAGTTAGATTTTTTTTGTTTCAGTTTTGTTTCAATCAAACTGTGTTCAATTGTGTTTGTAAAGTCTGTGGTAGCTTTTGTTGCAACATAAAATAATTTAAACAAAAAATTTCAAAATAGCGCCAACAAACTTGTATTATTTGGGCGACTTTAAGCTTGTAGTTTTAACTTATTAACTTAAAAACTATTTATTATTATTATTATTATTATTATTATTCTTGCCTCGTGTAAAGTATGTTTTGTGTATATTTATGGTTTATTTCCTTATATTTGCAAGTTTTAAAGATTTTAAGTTTGCCAAAATTGTGGTAACACCATTTTTTTCTGTTTCTTAAAAAGGGGGACAAATAGAAAAAAACAGCTTTAGAAGTACGATTTGGAAATGTTCTCCATAGTCAAAGAATGCACTGCTATATTTAACTAATTGAAGTGTATAAACATACATGCTGTGTGCTAGATGTTATGCCTTTACTGCCTGTGTTCTGTTTGTCTTGTTAAATGAAAATCTTTTAATTATTTAATCTAATCACAGTCTTGTTTTTCCAACCACTCGGTAAACCCCTGAGACGTGAAGCGGCCSCTTTAGCGAGACTCCGGGCCTTTTTCGGGGTCCAGTGACTGTTGTGAACAGTTCGATTTGCTCACAAGATTCTCTCCTGTTCTGCTGATGGGTTCAATTTACAAAGAAATCTATATCACTGTTTTAAATTGTGAGACCACCTGAAACAATTTGTGCTATTAAATCAWAGTTGTTCTGTGTGCATTTGAAAAAAAGAAGAAAAGCCTAGAGCTCTGGAAAAAGCAACTACTCCAGAGCTCCAAAAAAGCTGCAGGATGGTCTTCTTGGGAGTCTCTAGAGTAGTGTAGGGGTGAGTGGTCCTTCTGTTTCTCAACTGTATTTTGTGTCTATTTATTTAGAAGAGGGGACGCAGTAACTTAGTGATGTTTTTTCTTACATTTTCCTGGAGTGGTAGAACAAATCAAAAAGGTGAAAACGATCAAAACGGTTCAGCTGGCGCCAACGCCGGCAGAGCACGAAACTACAAAATCTCATACTTCCAAACACGACCAAACGAACAAAGTCAAATTTAAACAAAGAACAAAAACGATAAAGGAATAAATAAAACCTTTCAGTTTAGACTAGGATATTTATTACTGGGATTTCAGCTGAAGACGCTTGAAGACTTTTTTCATGGAATTGTTTAATTATTTGTACTTTACATGCCAGAAAAAAAAAAATAAAATGAAAGTTACAAATACAAATGACTCATGTTATTTACTATTTAAACACAGAAAGGAGATTGACTCACATGCATTTATAGAAACAAAGGTGGAACAGTTGGATTTTTTTTTCATGCCTCTAAGCCACAAGATGCAACAACTCATGTCTTAGTTTCTAAACTTTTGACCAACATGATAAATATTGGTACTTTTTAAGCAGGTATAAATGAATATAAAACAGATACATTAGCAATAGCAAGTTTTTCAATAGAAAAGCTAGTGACTGAGTAAGAGTAGACACCAATTAAAGGTTAAATGAGCAAAACTTTATTTGAGGACAACACAACGACACTGTATTTTGCATAGAACACTAGAGCCAACACATTGGGCAGGAGTGGGGGGTATAAGTGTTGAACATGATATTCATGGGAATTTCCACAAAATTTTATATTGAAAAGCAAACAAACCTAAAAGTGAAGCAGCAGAAAGTTTGTGCTGCTGCAAAGACTGGTCCCTTAAAAGCAACCTGCAAAACAGAGCACACATACATTCACGTGTTTTTTTTTTTTTGTTTGTTTGTTTCAACAGCAGGGCAGTGAAGGTAAAAGTGACMGTGACAAAAAATACCTTTGCATCATAGGATTTAACTATCAGTTATATTTGGGTTTGATTTGGCAAAATTATAAAATCTCATTTGTGTTGTAGCAGAGCCACTCATGTTAGCATTATCAAAAGGTTTAATTTACTCATTTCTAGTCCAGTATTATCTATACATCATGGAAGATTTAACTAAACCAAATAAATTATTTAAAGATTAAACACAGCGATTATGTAGAAAAATGTTACATTGATGCAATACAGGTTTTTATTTTATTTTACAAAATACTATTTTAGATATGTTTTTGTCGTAACATCAACTTCCCTTATGGGCAAGCTTGAAAGGCCAAATAAATGATAAAGTTTTTTTTTTTTTCAGTTACAAACACTGAATTAATATTGTAAAATCAAATATAAATTCAATTTTATCGTGTTTTACACCTGTGCCACAATTAGCAAATCATCATTAAGTGCAAAATGACAAACTGTCCCCAGTGGCTGCATAATTACATAAATTATAATAAACATCAGTTTTGTTAACACACTCTGAGTAATTGCACACCATGATCATTAAATGCTAAACAATGGTTAATTCTTAAGGCTCTGAACAAAAAAATAAAATAAAATAGATAAATAAATAAATAAATAAATAAATAAATAAATAAGCAAGCAAGCCTCCATTAGGTTGCCACACCCTTATTTTTCTGCTTCTCTAACATGAAGTTTTAACTGGACACAGAATTAAAAACAATTTGTGAAATTTGAATGCTCTGACTTTGTTCCTGCCTGCATCAAAAATAAATATTAATCAAATAATCACAAGTTTCATGTATTAACACTAAAAACATGACTAATCAAAATAACTCTTGCCCATTTTAGGATTTTAAAGGGACCACCACATAAAATGGCAGAAACAGTAACTAAGGTTTCTCAAAAAGAAAGAAGTTTTTATTACTCACAAACGATGCGCATCTACAGTTCATCATGACCATGATCAGAGGTCATCGGAGGGGGTTCCTGGCTCATCGGAGGGGGTTCCTGGCACACAGCAGGGCTGGTGAACTCCATCAGGTACTCACAGCGGCTGGGCTCCGACGTAGACGTCACAACTGTTTCTGTTCCGCACGTTAACTTAACCTGAGGCGTTACACACAAATGTTTACGATGCTTTATCCAGACAGGTCAAAATAAAGACGCTTTAAATGATGACTGAGACTCACAGTGGTGGATCTGTTGGGGCCTTGCCAGCATCCTGTTCCATGCTCATACTTCATCACAGAGTAGATGTTATCCTCAGGACCTGCCCATTTCCCCCATGAGCTAGGGGAGGAAAATGGTGACATGTACAAAATTATTCAACTATGTTTAAAATATATATACACAAGCAAAAGTCTGATTCATCTTACCCTAAATTAGTTTCTGATCCACCATACTTGGGTTTCTGGGAAACTCTGTTGAATGGACAGAGTCTGTAGACATACCTGTAAGAAAACAACTTATTCAGTAAGAACTTCTATATAAAACCTTTTCCAAAGTCAGGCAACGCACTTACTCGCCAGTAGTCAGCTCATAACACTGGCTATAGAGGTAGGCAAACTCCACACTGGGTCCAAAGTCGAACGAAATTTCCTTTTCGAGGTTCCTAAAGACAAAACACGAGTTGAAATGTATTGAGGTTACAATTTTTTTTACTTTAAATGTGCTTAGTGAGTACTAAAAGAAAAAAAAAAACATAATTGTAAAATATAGCGTTGGGCAACATTGTTGACAATTGAGCTGCATATTATGAACTCTAAATCAGCTGCCCTGTGTTCTAAAATTATACTTAAAAATCAGTCGAACTTATCCTCTTCATTTTAACAAGTTAAATAGTAAGCTATGATATAAAACCCACCTTTTCCACGATGTTGAGTGGTAACAGATCTTTAGTACCGCAATACGTCACAGGCTCATGAKTGCACTTGTTATTGAGAGTGCATCGCACACGAAAACATATCATCACATGGCACTAATTGCAGTAATAACAAAGTGGCAAATATTGTTGATTAACTGCACACGATGCGATTTTGCCCGACCCTGGTAAAATCCCATTCAGTCTGAAACGTACCTGATGTTGTCGTCCACCTCTCGCAGAGATTTCTCAGCCTCATCAAACTCATCTCTGGCTTTCTGAGCAGCTGAAAATCAGAAGGAAATTTAGTCACAACTTCATCATAACTAGCCATTTTTAAAAATACAAATAAAGCTGTGTCATAAAAAAGCAACACATCTTCTATAAAACATTAGTTACTGCAACAGTTAACTTACTGCACAATAAAATAATTTAAATGATCAACTAAAAAGTCAAATTTTCATGGTGATTTATTTGTTATATGGCAATATGACTCAGCTTATTAGTACTGACTGGAAACACTCACCATCAATAAGTTTCTGTGTTTCTTCATCATAGGGTGGCATAGTCCCATCTTCATCGTCATCCTTCTTTTCATGAGTTTCTGTTGGAGGAGGAGACTGAAAACGAAACAAASACCTTAGTTCTTCCCTGAAACAAACAAAAGTAACATAATTTTCATGTAGGTGCTAAACTTACTTTATAATCCCCATCGTCCATCTCGTCATCGTCTTCTTCATCTTCCTCCTCCTCCTCTTCCTCTGGGTTGTCATCATCAGGATAAGGTTCAGAGTCGTTGTCAGAGGCCGGTTCTTTTACTTCCTCCTGTGGAGGTTCCACAGGTGCCGGGGCGTCTGTGTTTGACTGATGCAGACAAACAAAAAAGTAAGAAAAACAAGTTTTTTTATTCAATAAACTGAACAAAAGAACTAAAATCTTACCCCTGACATGTATTTTTCTTTGATTTTACTCCAAATGGACTCAAACCCTGCTGTGTCCAGTTTGTCCACTCCTCCCAACAGTTCCTACACAAATCAAAGAAAATCTGWTCATTCTGTAAAGGTTTAGCTCCTCAAGATCTGCTGCAGCTTTGAAATCATTACAAGTACAATTAATACAATAATGGCAATAATTAGGGAAAATATATACCTGAGCCTCTGCTTCGGTGAACGAACCATCAGAATTTTGATCAAGCTCAGAATGAGAAAGAAGCTCGGCAACAGAGACACTGACACACAAAATCACATTTTTTTATTGGAACATAAGTGAAAATTTATACTTATTGATTTTTACCAAAAAGTAAATAAACCCAAATACATGAACATTAAGATAAGGCCACACCAATGATCAGAAAACAGTCAGCAGACTTGTAGCAGTCAATGTTTAGCTTTATCAAACTAAACATTTCCTATCATTAATAAAACTTTTATTTCTGGGGATTAAACAGTACTTACAAGCCATCTCCATCACCATCCAGCTCAAGAAACACTTCAGCCATTCTAGCCTTATCTTTCTCCATGCGAATGACAGCTTTTTGTTCTGAAACAAAAAATAAAATACTCTTGATTATAAATTACAAAATTTATATTGGAATTTTTAACATTAACAATTCTAAAAAAATGTTAGAATACTTGTAAATAATGACAAAACTATCAGTTGACTTTAGAACATGATCAAGAAACAGGAAAGACATAAAGGATGTGGTGCAATACCCCTTGTACACAGTAGGTGGTGGTATACTTTGTAAATCAAACTTTTACCTTCCCAAGCCTTCAGATGGCGGTCTTTAGCTTCTTTCTCCGGTTGCTCTGCTGTCTCTTTAACCATTCTCAAAGCCTCCACCTTCTCTTCCAGATCTTTCTTACTGTTCTGGACGTCTGTCAGTTTGCTCTGTTAAAACAAAGTAAAACGACCAATTTAACCAACAATGCAGCATTTTCACACAAACCGAACAAAAGTTTGTACTATTCACACCTTCTTTTCCTCTAGACCTCTGTTAGCCTCCTGGATAAGTTGTTGTTTGAGCAAAAAGCCTTCCTTTGCTATTTCTGCCAGCTTCTCCATGCTCTCTTTCTCTTTACGCCACAAATCCCTGCAAAACAATTTTAAAACATGACACAATATTTAACCTTTTAAAATTAAATATTTAATTTCAAGTACTATTAAATCAAACCAGTGGAAGAGAAATTCCCACCTGCAGGTGTTTTGACAGTCAGCACCACTGTTATACTCATCTGTAGCATCACAGCAGTCTGAAGAGAAAATACAGGTGTTAAACAAAATAAAACATGCCTGAAAAACTATCATAAACATATTAAAATCCATACCACAGATTCCATCATTGACCCTGGAGGAAGGGATGAATGTTGGTCGGAAACCTGCGTTGGTGCAGTGGAAGCTGCCATGCGGACAAGCAGCAGTGCCTGAAATATTAACGTTTTTCAAACCAAAGACAAGTATTGATGTCAAACTTTGATTTTAGTTTAAAAAAAATCTTGCAAGGATAGCATTAATTTAATAATCAACATTCAGGGCATACAGACCTGGCTCATCAGACCCATCCTGACAGTCACAGTAGTCATCATTTACTCTGTCAAAGGGAATAGTGCGGGATCCATCCAGACAAGTAAAAGGTTTGTCCTCTTCATACAGCGGCCTTTCTATGTTTTTACAAAAAATGGATGGACAGTGTGTCATGAAATCCACCTTATAAAATATATTGTTTTTATATATATCACTGTTTTCCTTGGCGTAAAGTAAGAAGAAAAAAAAAACAAGTTCGTGGACGTAATTTAGTTACAACTCATTTTTTCATCGCTTACTCGATAAAGGGACACCGCGAGGACGTTGAACTTCCACAGAGAAGACTCCTCCGAACAGAAAAAGCAGCACCAGATACTGGCCGGACATATTCACGAACAGCAGAATGAAGCAGCTCCAAAATCACCTGTCAAACAGTCAAAATGGGCACGTCGGTAAAGAGAAAAACAACAACAAATAAACTGAGAAAGACCCGACAACTCATTGGAAAGCTAGCAATGTGGCTAACGATTGAACTAATTAGGCTAAAGATCAGTGCAGAAAATAAATTATCAGTTAAATATACTACCCCCTGCACATATTTATATGATAACTATACGATACAGTAAGTGTAAAAACGTACCAAAACCGCTAAATATAAAGAGGCAAATAATTTAATTTAGCTTTTTTTCRAGCTACCGGATAGCAGCAAGTAGCTAGTTCCGTATCAAAATGGCGCATGCGCATTGCGCATCACTTTCTTGACGTTCTTCACGTTGATTGGACGACGCCGTTTCTTTTCTTTCTTGTGATTGGTGGAGGGCAAGCTGTTGGAGTTGTTTTGTGCTGCAGACTGCAGCCATCTCATGCCAGTAAGCAAGCAAAAGGTACCTACCTCTGTTGACTATTTTTTTTTATTGCTGTTGTTTACAAATGTTTTTGTATCAGCCTTTATTGTTTGCTTCCAAAAATTAATTATTTAAAATAATGGGATCAGGTCTTTTTCACCTGCAAAATAAGGAGTGAACCACAGTGTTTCTTTTAATATAAAAAAATTTGCTTTATTTGTATTTTAACACACTTTACAGTACTGAACAGTGAAATAAAAGAAAAATATACTGATATACTATAGGATTGTTTTATATAGAGATTTTGCTTATTAAATGCATTTATTCACAAAATGACACCTCAGCTTTGTCAAAAAGAAAAAAAACTTTCATAAAAATAATATAATAAAAAATAACTTGGACACATTTTACACATTACAGCAAGTTCATTTACAAATATTACAATCATTTCACGTTTTATTCCCCCACTTGAATGAACTCTGACTGATGAACAAAACAATATGTTAAAGCCCAGAGTTCTTTTTTAAATTTTATTTTAAATAAAGTCAGTCTGCAATAACATTAACCTGACAGAAACACCAATGGGAACTGGCTAAGTAGGCCACCATGGGACAAACATTTAGGCTATCAGGCTTAAACTTACTAAGAAATAGAGGTGGGGATGGTGCTGGATATAGCCAAGGACATCTTTTTTAACTTATGGAGTTACATCAGCTTTGTTTTGACATTACTGGTCAAACAAATTTAATCTCACATGAATATTTATAGAAGATGGCTAGTTTCTTTAATTATGACTAACTGCTGCCCTAACCAGACTGAGCACTACCTGAAACACACTTTCAGCCTTGAAAACCTGATGTAAATAAAGTGCTGGTAATAATTTCAACAATAAGTGTGCACAATTAAAAGTCATGACAGAAAAGTTATTACAAGTAAAGAATGGCAAAAAGTGACTCTGTGGCTTGCTGTGCCTCAGTGGTTCATTTTAAGTGGCTGTTTGTCAATCATTCTGACTGGGATAAAATTTTCATTTACAATACATTATTACATTATATACAAGAGTGACAATGCTTATAGCTAAACCATTGACACGTGATTCTTTTTTTCCCGACCATCCGCCAGCATGATAGAAAAATAAACTGTACACAAACTGGTCAAAGAAAACACTTTCCATTATTTTCTTTTCATTGTTTAAAAAGAATGGCAGCAATCACTTAATTGAATAATTTCCCTATTAAGAAACAATTGCTACAGTGTTGTGTTTGTATGGCAATTAAATATTAATGTTTTTATAGCTTATGACAGAACAGGGAGCCACAAAAACAACGAAACATGTTGAAAGTCAAAAGGCCAGTGCATAATGGGAACCTTTTAACCGTAATAGAAATTCTGGATTCCCATTTTGTTACGAGATGGAAAGCCTTCGCGGCGGCTTCGCAGCTCACATGCAGGCCTCAGTCAAGCTGTGGTGTCTTCAGATAAGCTCAGTTACTGACCTGCAGAAACACGCCCTTACCTTTAAAACAACCACACTTGTATTCTTTTCTTTCCTTTTTTTTACCCTGTGGAAAACAAACGCCTAAAACAAAGTGAGCCATTAAAGCCGCGCCGATCGAACCCTGGACCCCCCGCTCCACAACATGACGCTAATGAGTGACCAATAACATCTTCAGCATCCCGCCGTCTCTAAATGTTGCTCACTTAACAGTGATCGGTTTTAATTCCTTTTCTTTAATTGCGCTCGGATAGATTTCAGATCTTGATTTAAAAAAACAACACATTCTTTATGTTGGTCCGAGCACAGAAACAAGAAAACTAACTGGCAGCACTGTTTCCCCTTTCCCTCCAAATGCAAAACACATCGTCTCTAGACACAACGATACATAAATAAGCATACAGACATAATATAAATAGACTAGGATATCTTTAATATATTTTTATAAATCTACATACTGCATGTATCCTGCATCTGACATTAAGGCAAAAAAACCATCAAACATAGCAAGGATGATTAGGGACCGCCAGACCTCCATTTTGCTAAGTTGTACACCTTTCTCCCTGACATTCTGCCTCCCTGATTTCCTTATTCAAACAATTTCCTTCCAACCACGGAAGTTCCTCATCCTTAACTTTGGTGAGAACTGTCACGTATGAGGATACAAAAACACAAAACAGTGACTAAGTGTGAGACGACAACAACCGAACATTTGTTCCGCTGATTAAGTAAATCTGTGTCCCGCCAACAGATTCAGCAACTTTTAAATATAAAATAGGCAAAATAAATTGTATGCTTCAAAGCATCACATGGCTTATTCTCTGAATAAAAGTAAAAAAAATGAAAAGGAACAAAAATCAGCCTAATAAGAAAATAAAACGTAAAAAAAAAGTCCACTGGTGGTTGTRGCGGTGTCAGTGATTGCTCTGCATCTAGAGTTCTGAGTCGTAATATTACCAGAAGAGCAACAAAGGAAGACTTACAGTCCAAAAACATATCACCACAGAAACTGTGAGTTTGCACACCACGATACCATGAACAGCGGAGAAGGATCTTTAACAAGACAATCAAAGAAAATCAAAATTAAAAAAAAGAGCAAAGTCAGACTATCCATGTCCCACAATGCATTGCTTTACGACAGCTCCGTTCAGGAAGCTGGTGTTTCAGAAAGGCACAGAGCCATCTTGCACCAGTAGCACTCTCTCCTTGTAAAGGGAAAAAAAGGATACGGGACCTCTCGGCCCCTTTTCATCGCAGCACCTTTCTTCTCGTCGCTTCAAGGTCGCCCCCCCTCGTCTCCTCCGAACTCGGTGGATTTTTCTTATTCTTATTTCCAACAGAAATGGAAAAAAAAGTCACTGGAGCTTCTCTGAGGAGAGCAGCTTCTATTGAGATTCTAACATACATGAATTACTAATACTGACTGAACACTAGTTAACACACCGAGAAGGGATGGCTTTTTCCCAAAGATATTCATTACTGATCAATGTCCTTTTGTTTAAATGCACACATACAAACATACAGTCAAGTGCGTGGKTGCATGTGTGTGTGTATCTGTGCAAATAATTGTGTCTATTTGTGCATGTCCAAAAACAAACAGGATACACATAAACTGCAACAGCACTGCGTGACAGCTGCATTCAGGTCACATTGCATTGGTGTTTTCCACATGACTTCCTTCTTCTTGTGTTTTCGTGTGTGATTTCATGTGTGTTTATCTATGTGCATTCCAGTCCTCAGAGTGCTACGCTGCTCCCCCCACCCCCCCCACCCCATCAGTAACGGTCTCCTAAGTTTCTGTTTGTCCATCGTGAAATCAGTCAAAGAACTCACCACTCCAAATCTACAGTTGCTGTGTAAKTAGCTTCTCTTTAAGCAGGTTTTTTAGTTTATTCCCTTTTTGAAAAATATATTTAAAGGTCTGTATTGTCGTTGCAGTTTTTATTTGTTCTTGGTTTGGCCACTTAGAGATGAAACGAGAGAACGTGTGCAAGTTTCGGAGGGCGATACAGGAGCRGGTCTCATGTATCTTCAGCTTGAGAAGACGAATCCTCCTCTTCTTCTACAGGACTTGTGTCATAGAGTCTTTCCTTGTCAGACCCCAGGCCCAGCCGAGTTTTCTGCTCCTCTTCTGCGTCTTCCTCCTCCATCGGCACCTCGTCTTCTTCCTCTTCGATGATGTCCTCGTTCTCCTCTGCCATCATGTCCTTCTTGTCCTTGCCTTTGTCCTCCTCGTCCGTGTCGCCGCAGTCCCGCRCCACGTGGTTCGACGCGTTTGTGTCTTCGTCGCGCCCCTGTTCTGTCTGAGAGCTGTCCTCCAGGGTGAGCTCGAACTGAAACTTGTCTCTGCACGCGTTCAGCTCCTTGTCCTGGCACACGGGAGGTGGGGACGGGCTCTGCGGGATAGTGCTCTGGTACCAGTCCCTGTTGTCCTCCAAGGTGTCGAGAATTTCCTGGGCGTCGGGATGCACGAGGTCCCCCCACGTCTCCCAAAGAGGGTGAACAATGTAGTCAATGAAGCCCACCTGTAGCCAGACAAAAAGAGAGAAGGGGGAAATGACTGACTCGTTCTCAGCCAGCACTCCGGTGTCGGCATTAAAAATGTAGGAGGTCGACTGCTGCGATCAGAGCTAAAAGCCCGCCACCTGCAGCGCTGACACTAATCCAGCGGTGTGACATCCACACGCACGCGCGTGTTTCCCTGCTAATCGTTTACCTGACTCTTTTCCACCGACGCGGTGTGTTTGTCACACATTGGACTGATTTCCATCCCTCGCTCCCTCTCCTTGTCTCCCTGCCTGAAGAACTCCTCCATGATTCTCTCCGTCCACTGTCGATACACCGGCAGAGGTTTGGTCGGGTTGCTCAGGTCGGCACAGTGCACCATGTTTCTCAGCACCTGCACAAAGTTACACATGACAGAACGGTTCTGTTGAGCCTTCGCAGCYATACGTCATGATGGGAATTGGAAGTGAGGGAGGGGAGTATTGACTGCAGTTGTTTTCCCGAGTTGTTTTTGCCAGTATAGCCATGGCTTTTACTTGTTCAAGTTGAGYTAATTTGTCTGTGAAAGCAGCACAGCTAGTTGGGGCTCCAAGACTGCGGGATTTTACAAAAGTTGGACATAGCTAACCAGAATTAAAGTTCTCTGTAACTGATTTCTGTCATTGGTAAAACTGAAAARGGAAGAAACGTGCTTTTAACCGTCCTGATTTGGGCGGATCTGTCCTGCATGAGGAGAGCTGGTGAGCTTCATCCAGCAGCAGCAGGCAGGTTGGCTGTAAAGTGCTTTCTGATAGCACAAAATCGTGGAACATTATAGCGATCTGAAGTAAAAAGTAAAACTAAAAGTAAAAACTCTGCTGTCGACAACACACTCTGAATAAAAGCTAAACATTTAGTTGTTAAAGTTCAGGTCTGTTTATTAACTGATTCAGACATCAACTGTCATTTATTCGGTTGAAAATCTTTGCTTATTTGATTAAGAGCGAGAGTGTGTGTGCATGTGGGTTTGTTTTGGTTTATTGTGAGGACCCACTGTCTGTATAATACATACAAAAACACTTAGTTTTTCTTTTTGTAGTCTTGGAATTTGCTCTGAAAATGCAGAGCAATGGATTTGAGTAGGGGTGCAACGATRCAGAAAATTCACGATTCGGGTCGATACCTTAGTGTCACGGTTCCATATTTTTTCAATACAAAAAAAGACAAATTTCCATGCACTTCTTAACTTGTAATCAATTAAAATTAACTATGAACAGTTGTTTAACCTTAAAAGTACAGTTTTTTAAATAAATGTCGCTGAAACAGCAAGTTTCTCAGTAGATCTGCGCTCGACAATGCGGTCTACGTGGAGTAGTCGAACACAGATCCATTGAGCCTTCAACGCAGAGCATCTTCAGAAGACAAGTTGATAAAATAAATTTTAAAAACCTGTATTGTTTGATACAAGTGTGTATTGAACCTAAAGCACTGTATTGAACAGTTGGATATACAGATACAGGTATTGTTGCAACCCTAGATGATCTTACTTTAGAACTTTGGCACAAAATGCAAAGGATGAAATGCATTCTTTAAGGCCTAGGCAAGTTTTGACTACATCTTAATGTTTTAAAACTATTACTTCWCTGCTTTGGTAATGTAAGTAGCAGTAAGAGAGAACAACTTGAAAATGCACCTGTATTCGATCGGTGTAATGGTCGAGCATCAGCACTCCAGAACTCGTGACTTTCTTGGTTTCCACCATCGTTTTGAGGTCTGCCAACAAACTCATGTGTTTGGACATATCTGTAGCCAAAACCTAGAAAACAAAAGGGGTTTCAAGCTTAAAGAGGTAAAAGCGAGAAGTAAAGAAAGGACAAATGAAGAAACGTGAGGAAGGTTATCCTTTTATTTCAAAACAAGGACATCTCACCATATCAATAACCAGTTTCCTCAGGCTCTGTTTCTGCCGTTTGCTAAGATTCTGGAAGATGTCACAGTTCTCCTCATGAAGCAGCTTAAAGCCCACAGCCAGGTGGTGGTTCTCCAACACAGACTCGTCGTTATACATCAGGGCTAACTCGGAGTCTGAGGCAACAAATATGAATAACTCAGTTATTTTATATTCACTGTACTCTCACCACTGCCCACACTTTAGGAGAACCAGATGAGCAGTGTACAGATAACTACTGTATGTGTTATGAGCTAAGAAAAATGTTTTCTAATAAAGCACTGAGAATTACAACAGTGTGGAAGTTGTACTTTTACGCATTATTTAAAAAAGATAAAACTCTTTCCCCCTTTGAGCACAAGATGATTTAGTTTAAAACATGAAATGTGGTCGATGATATGTATTCTTTCAAGGATTGTGACTCTTTCCATGTTTGATACTATTTTTTTTATTCTGTTCAAATTGATCATATTTCTTGTTTTGATCTCATTTGACTCACTGGTGTTGATGAGAAACTGGTTGGACACTCCAGGATGGTCAACGTCATGAATGGCAGCAGCAAATAATGCTGCTAATATCTCCAGATCAGTGAAAACAGCCTGTCAGAGAGACACAAAAGAGCAGCCACTGTTAAAACATTAAGCTTTGTGTTGGACAGTTTTTGTAATATTTGCTTAATTAATATAATAATAGGGATACTTGCATCTAGAGCTGGTGTGGAGAGCAGAACATGGGTGGACTGGGTGACGTCAGCAGCATGAAGGCTGTTGTGGTAGGCGACATTGGCGTGGTAGTGGTCCTCCAGGGTCATCACGTAGGTGACGAAAGTATCCACAGGGATCCTAAAGGTCTTYAGTAGATCTCTTTCCTGCAGCAAAGGACGGTTCAGTGGGGTCAGGTTTACAGGTTGGTCCAGGTTTTAGAATAAATACAAACATACTTTATCAATTTATAGACACAACTTTCCATAAAAAAAGAACCAAATTGATGGATTTTAAAGGTAAATTTATCTATTTTCTGCACTTTTTTTTTACTAGTCAGGGAAAATCAGCAAGAAAAAACATTTTTAACATTGTGAGAATCTTTTTTTCACATCATAATGTAGTTCCACCTGCAAGTAAGTAAGTAAGTATGTAAGTAAGTATGTAAGTAAGTAAGTAAGTAAGTAAGTAAGTAAGTAAGTAAGTAAGTAAGTAAGT